GGCTGCCCGGCATCGCAATAAATACCTGCTGTTTATGGCATAAAACTCTGACTAAGCAGGTTTTTTTTTATCTGCCTTTTTGGGCATCAAGATCAACCAGGTCAAATTGACCTCACTTGGTCATCGAGTGATGTCTTTCTGCAAATTGTGGAGATTATCAAATGAAAGAGATTCAGTGATTATTTCTGACTCTGGGTCTACTGTTTTTGAGGGGCCCATGTCCCCATTCTCATCCACCAGTTAAAGTGATTTGGTCTTATATTTTTTCCTTTGGATAAGGGCAACTTCTATTGGCTGGGGTTGCCCTTCTGGCTTATCTACACCCTGAGTGGCTGTGGTAACAGGTATTTTGTTCTTTCCTTTCCTCCTGGACAAGTTGCACCATACTGAGCAGCTTTTGGTAGGCAGTGGTCAAAGCCCTGCATGCAACCACGAGTTGCTCCTCCATAGATCTACCACGGCACCTTTCCCTCACAGATCTCATCACTTTTAACAGGGTCCCGAAGTTGTTCAAGGGTGAACTTCTAGGTCATTAGAGAAGAAAAGTTCTCCAAGAACCCATGTCCTTCCACAACCCATACCACTCAAAGCTATCTACCCCTGGGATGAGCTTCTGGACACATTCCCGAGAGATCTTGGTTCTAGCTTCATATGTGAGATAGACCATAATGATGCAAATTTGCAGACATACCATAGAGTAAGGTATCTCCAGCATCTAGAGGGAATTTAAACTTCAAAAGCTGTTGTAGCGAACCTGAAGAGAAAATGGGTGAAGGAAACGGGGAAGGTCAACAAGGCTGACATCCTAATGGGAGTCTGTTATCGACCACCCAACCAGGATGAGGAAGGGGATGAATTATTCTACAAGCAGCTGGCAGATGTCTCAAAATCGCCAGCCCTTGTTCTTGTGGGCGACTTCAACCTAACGGATATCTGCTGGGAGCTCAACACGGCAGAGAAGAGGCAGTCTAAGAGATTCCTGGAGTGTATAGAGGATAATTTCCTGCTCTAACTGATAAATGAAACCACCAGGGGTGGGGCCACACTAGACCTGTTGTTTACAAACAGAGAGGGGTTGGAGGGAAATGTAGTGGTTGGAGACCGTCTGGGCCACAGTGACCATGAAATAATAGAGTTTGCAATACTCAGGGATACAAGGAAGGTCACCAATAGAACCTCCAAACTGGACTTCCGGAGGGCAGATTTCAGACTGTTCAGAAGACTGGTCCAGAGCATACCCTGGGAAAAAAACCTTGAAAACAAGGGGGTACAGGAGGGATGGACGTGCTTCAAGAAGGAAGTCTTGAGTGCACAGGAACAGGCTGTACCAGTGTGCCAAAAGGCAAGCCGGAGGGGTAGACGACCAGCTTGGTTGAACAGGGAGACTCTGAAGGGAATCAGGGATAAAAAAAGAGCTTATAGACTATGGAAAATAGGGTTGGCTACTCAGGATGAGTTTAGGAGTATAACTAGGTCATGCAGAAAGAAAATTAGAGAGACAAAAGTGCAATTTGAAGTCAATTTGGCTACTTCTGTTAAGGATAACAAAAAGCGCTTCTATAAATACATTAATAACAAAAGGAGGGGCAAGGAAAACCTCCATTCCTTGTTGGACTTGGGGGGAACATAGTTAACAGGGATGAGGAGAAGGTTGAGGTACTTAACACCTACTTTGCCTCAGTATTCACCAGTAGGACAGGTGGCCCTCAGGACAACCATCCTCTGGAGCCGGTAGACAGGGACAGGAAGTCAAACAGCCCTCCTGTATTCCAGGAGGAAATAGTCAGTGACTTACTGAGCCACCTGGATCCACACAAGTCCATGGGAACAGATGGGATCCATCCTAGAGTGATGAGGGAGCTGGCAGAAGAGCTTGCCAAGCTGCTCTCCATCATTTACCAACAGTCCTGGCTCACTGGAGAGGTCCCAGATGATTGGAAGTTGGCAAATGTCACGCAAGAACTAAATTTAACACTTTTTATTTTTAAACTAAGCATAAGAAAATAAAAGTATGTATAAGGTACGTATAAGTTCCCAATAAGGTCTGGAGCCTGATATTTAGTAAGGACCTTGCTTTTTGTTACAATCTCTTCAAATATTGCAGAAAGAATTTCTGATTCGAATATTCCTTTCAGCAAAATTAAAACTCACACAAGTTATCTGTTGACACCAAAAACTGATTTTATTAATTGCTAAGAGATGCAAAGAGAAAGAGGGAAAAATAAGAAAAGGTTGGAAAGTGCCAAGATTATTTCTAGAAGCAGAGAAAGGATACCACCAAAAACTACCTTTCTGCCGTGCTAGTGCGAATGGGGGGGAGAAGCAGTTTTCTGCCTTTTTTTTTTCTCTGTATCAGCTGCTTTTCAATTTTATCTCTTTAGCTGCAGGGGGTCTAACAGCTTTATTTCTCTGGATTGGAGGATGTGTGGTTTCTTTGCTCACGTTACTTGCAATGAGCCGAGGTGCGTCCCAGGCCATACAGGGTCTCAGTTCAGCCGCAGTTTTGGGCCCTCAGAAAATATGGTAAGGGTAGAAGGATAAGATATAACTCACACATGTGGTACAGCAGGTCTCAGTTCTCTCCAGGCTGGCAGAGTTCCAGTCTCCCGTGGCAGGTAGGCAGCATACGGTAGTGGAGAAAAGGTGAGGGGAGCTGAGGAGAGACTCCTGGGGCAACCAGTTCTTTCTCACTTTCCTCTTCCCTGATTTTCCAAAATTTGTCCTCAAGTTGTATAGTGTTCAAAGGAGGTTGTACTTGGTTTCTTGGCACATAGCCAGTTCAGATGTCCGAGGAGATATGATAAACAATGGCAGGATCAAGGACTGGACTTGATGATCTTGGAGGTCTCTTCCAATCCAGTTAATTCTATGATTCTATGATCTTTTGGCAGGAAAACTCCAGCAGGAAGCTCTGGTGAGAGCTTCTGGCAGACAGCTGACAGAATTTTTGGTAGGAAGTTTTGTCAGGCAGAAACAATAGCAAAACATAATTTTTGGTATTTCTATATTATCTATGTGTTACACTTTGAGAAATTAGTATTGTTCACATGCAATTTCATTTTACTAGTTTACAGAACCATCCTGCCCTAATTTTATTAATTAGCGTAAGACATTACAATTATCAAAAATAAAACCAGATTAAAAGCTTCTTTATGTCTGAGAATTTGCTTCTTTTAGAAGTAAAACCAGGAAATCACTATATGAATTTGAGTTCTAATTACGAATATCATAAATCCATCTCAAAATAAAGAAAAATTGGCTCTTGAATGATTATATACTATGCAAGTGTAACTGCAAGTATAAAACAGTTAAGCAATATTATCAGGTGCAATCCCTTTCACAAGCAAGCTACTAGACAGACAAAATACTAACAAATTTTTCATGTTTTAACTTGGCAAGACAGTCACCAGTCTCTGATGTAGCTGTACACTTACTTCACAGGACCAAATTAATAACATGCACAAAACGGACAATTAGTTGTCTGATTTTCTGAAACAGAACAACTGTAACTGTCTCAATATTTCACAGAAGTATAAGATTCCTGTTTTCAAGTTTTAGTGATCCCTGGTATAAAGTTGTAATTTTAAATGTCCTCATTCTTCTACACAGCAAGAGACTCCACAAAAATAGGTATTGATATCACTCTTTTTATTTTTCAGTCAGAAATACATTTTCATAGGGCATTTCAATAAATAATGGTGTTTATTTCTTAGACAAAACCTCCATCTTTTTGGCACGACCATATTCTGTTTTTCAAACTAAAGACTACACAGGAAAAGTTTATTAAAGAGATCATTGTTCAATACATGAAATTTACAGAGGTGCAGATAACTTTTTAAAATACACATCAGTTGTAAATATTCTAACAAGTCAGAAAACATTAACCAAACCAGTAAAATAGTCTACTGGGGTCCTCTTCACTGCCTTCAGTTACAATTGTACAGTAAGTGGCAGAATGAAAAGAACTCTTCATTTTCTACAATGCATGCACTGACTAGTGCTTGCTACTCATCCTGAAGGAACAAGTCTCCTAAATTGTACTAGAAACAACTGATCAAATAAGATACGTTTCAAAACATGATCTTAATTTTAACTTTGAAATATGTAAAATGAAGTTGCACACTGCCTCAGTAATAGACTGTACCTAAAAATGTCTAGAAATGTTTAATTTTTAAACATAAGTTACTAACATGTTTCAAAGATATCTAAGAATACAGCTGTCAACACTGCATTGGATGTCATATTTGGACAAAAAAATTCTTACGCAACAAATTAAGCCAGTGTATTCAATCTACTAATATTCCAAATACTTATCCCAAACTCATTTTATAAAAAAGAGGAAGCAAAACAATTACTTCCATACAGAAAAAAAAATAATAGGTTTGAAGTAGCAAATGAACAAAGGTTTATTTTATGAGTCAATTTCCTTGTCACCACCAATGCAGACCCAGTTTCCAAATGTTTGAATAGAATGTTTTAAAATAACAGGTGATCCAATTTAGCCAAGCTCACATTCATTCCCATGATGTAAGTCATACATACATTTTATTGTAGAATACATTAAGAAACAAAAAGATAGCTTGAGTACTTATGCAAGAGCAATTTTTAACATCAAGCCAAAATTAGAAACAACCAAGCAGACCTTCAATTTTTCAGTATTAAATTACCATAAATACTAGATAACTGTAAAAAAAACCCACAAAAAACAAACCCAAACCCGAATCCAAAAAACAAAAGCCTTTTCTTTGTTAAAAGATGTTCAAAGAAATATCCACTAGCTATAGCCAAATTTGTATTAGAAGTTGCTTGCTCTGGAAAGATTTTTTCCCTCCGTTTGTAACACAATGTATTGTCAAAATCCTATTCAAATTAATTACTTTCTGATAACATTTAGGTTATATCACCTACAGTGTGGACAGTCATGTACAGTATGACAGCATATTTTTGAAGCAGAGAAATAAACAGAAACTGGTTCTAAATTCTAGATTATACTTCATAGTTCATGTATTGTTTCTTGTAAACATACGGTCGGTCCCCTCTAAGGGTAAGGTGTTGAAGTTGGTATTGTAGCATGTCTGTGTCAGCAGGTTCCTCAATGCTCATTTTGTCTAAATTGAGGTAGTCCAGGGATTTAGAATGAGCCTTTTTGCCTTTTAAAAGGCAAAGAGGCAGGGGACCATGAAGTGCCTTGTAAGGTTCATATGGTAAAGGTTTAGTGCATTTATCCCCTGAGCTGGGCATCCGTCTCCTCCTCCTCCCCTTTATTGCTGGGATCTCATATGGCTGATAGCATCTACTTCTAGTTTTGTATAAACGGGAGGAGTATGCAAGTCCTAAATCGAGCTGTTTAGAGTGCAAGTTAGGCCCAGATTTCCCTTTATTATCTTCATTTCCTGTATACTTTTGAGCTAATTTTAGCAGCTCCTCTCCAGTCGTGAATCCAACCAGGTAGTTAGAATCCATATGAAGGATCTGATAGCCTGAAATTGTCTGTCGCATTGGTGAGCAGGGGGTGCTGGAACATCGTGGTTTCTCTGCTTCTGTTTTGCCTGCAGAACTGACCTCTGCAAAAGGTACAGGGAGGGTAGATAGGGTAGTTCTGGACTTTCCATTTATGTCCATTTTAAGCAATGTGCTATTCTCCTAAAAAAAAACAGAGATTGGTCACAAATAGAGTCCTTAACCATTAAAGGAGCTGAGAGAGAATCTCAGAAATTAAACTTATCACCCAGAAACCATAATCAGTACTTCTCTATTCTGTCTTGCACTCTACAGAGTCTCATAACAAAACCATCAGATATCTGGTCTTTTAAAATTATTTTGGCCCCCTTTTTAATAACAAATACTATAAATATACTCGATATTCTTAAATATGCCAAAAACACATTCTTGAGTAGCACTGTACAAAAAAATTAGGTACCTTTCCACTCTATTTTTTAATCCTTTTAGTCTATTTGATCCTTTATAACCCCTTTTCTTTGAGGTCATCTACATTAATTAGCATATCCATAGTAACTGCTGTTGTACTCAACTGCATATTTTTTCCAAAGTTTCCCTGGGGTGGGTTGACCTTGGCTGACTGTCAGGTGCCCACCACGCTGCTCTATCCCTCCACCTCCTCAACTAGAAAGGGGGAGAAAATACAAGAAAAGTCTTGTGGGTCATGATAAGAACAGGGAAGATCACTCAGGAATTACTGTCCCAGGCAAAATAGACTCAACTTGGGGAAATTAAATTAATTTATTGTCAACCAAATCAGAGTAGGATAATGAGAAATAAGAACAAATCTAAAAACTCCTTCCCCCCACCCCTTTCCTCTTCTCAGGTTCAACTTCACTCCCAAATTATCTACCTCCTCCCTCCCAAAGGGCATAGAGTGATGGGGAATAGAGGTTGCGATCAGTTCATAATGCATTGCCTCTGCTGTTACTTCCTCCTCGTGCTCTTCCCCTGCTCCAGTGGGGTGTACCACCCACGGGATACAGTCATTCTCCAACGTGGGTCCTTCACAGGGTCACAGTTCCTGCCAGCAAACCTGCTCCAGTGTGGGCTCCTCTCCAGGGGCCTGTTCCATCATGTGCTCTCCATGGGCTGCAAATTCCTTTAGGGCACATCCACCTGCTCTGGCAAGGGGTAATCCATGTGCTGCAGGGTAGTTTTCTGTTCCACCATGGACATCCATGGGCTGCAAAACCACTGCAGTCTGACTTTGAGAATGACTGTTGTGTGAGAGAACGCATGTAGCTTGTTCAGATGATCGACAGTCATATGAAAGACTGTTAGCTGACAGGGAAGAGTTTGCATGTGGCCAATGGCCCAGGCACACTTGCATTAAATATCTATCACCACTAATATGCACTTAACACCATCATTGTTTTTGAAAAACTATTGCATAGATACCAAGTCTGCTTGCCATTGTGCATCCACCTCTGCCACAATCATCTTTCTTCTTTTTAAGTGCTTTCTTGCTTCCTAGTAGAAGCTGCAAGTGTCCTGGTTTGCAAGCCAGGTTGCCACTTGTTTTCTGTTCAGATCAGTCATTTGCCTTTTAGCAGCTTCAAAAAGGGGATTTTTACCCCCAAAGCTTCATAGAATCATAGACTATCCTGAGTTGGAAGGGACCCACAAGGATCATCAAAGTCCAACTCCTGGTCCTGCACAGGACACCCCAAGAGTCACACCATGGCCCTGAGAGCGTTGTCCAAACACTTTTTCAACTCCGTCAGGCTTGGTGCTGTGACCACTTCTCTGGGGGAACCTGTTCCAGTGCCCAACCAACCTCTGGGTGAAGAACCTTTTCCTAATATCCAACCTAAACCTCCCCTGACACAGTTTCATGCCATTCCCTCAGGTCCTGTCACTGGTCACCAGACAGAAGAGATCAGTGTCTGCTCCTCTGCTCCCCCTCACGAGGAAGTTGTAGACTGCGATGAGGTCTCCCCACCTTATAGGTGGAGAGACAGTAAATCTCCAAAGAAAACAGCAAATCTTTTTTAACAGAAGTGGTTTCGCAGATGTGTACTGACATGCTGCACACACACACATATGAAAGGAAACCCTGAACAATCAATTTAACTCAAGTACAAAGAAACTTTGTTAACAAGGTATGAGGAGAGTTCCTAGAATCATAGAATCAGCCAGATTGGAAAGGACCTCTGAGATCATTAAGTCCAACCCTTGATCCACTACCACTGCGGTTACTAGACTATGGCACTAAGTGCCACATCCAGTCTCATCTTAAAACCTTCAGGGACAAAGAATCTACCACTTCCCTGGGCAGTCCATTCCAATGCCTGATTACCCTCTCTGTAAAGAATTTCTTCCTAATATCTAACCTAAACCTCCCCTGGCAGGTTTAGTTGGTTGCTATTCAAGACTTCTCCAGGATTATTTTTCTCCCCTGCTCTCCAAACATTGCCATCACTTCTATGCCCTTTGTCGTTTCTTCAGCTGCTATAGGTCCAGACAAAAAACACAGATAGATAATACTACAATTTGACTTCTCCCTCTCCGGTCAGCTGGAGCCGTTTTGTATGTTCTAAGGATAGCATCAATCTTGGGACAAGGAAAGACATATAGCACCAGCCTGTGCCCCATAACTGTCTCACAGATAGCTGCAAGATCCTCCCAACCATGGGCAAAGGGAGCTCTCCCAACACCATCACCCACCCTCTGTGATACTTGCTTCAAAACCTAGTTTGTGATTCATGGGCCCATTGGCCAGTTGTTCTGGTTTGCACAGTCTTTTTAATGAATCCCTTATGCTCTTTTCCTTACTGTCCCCATGCACATGTTCTTCTAAAGTTCACATTTTGTTCTGGCTAGTCGTTTCAATGAACAATGACTGTGCCTTACAGGATCACACAAAGTCCAAAGTTTGCCCCAGTAACACTGCATAACCATCATCCTAGTGGGTTGAGCCCAAATGCAGAAGCATCTCAATCCAGCTCAAAGGGCTGATCTCTTCTTTGCACATGACAAGGGTCCCTTGATGAGAATATGTGGGTACTGGTGAATAACAGGAGCAAAGTTCCAAATTGCAAGATAAAGAACAAAGTGGTTAAACAATGGAAGCAATAACCAATAACTACAGGAATGTAGTAAATTGTAAATTAAGACAGAAATCTAAGTCTTTGAAGGGGAAAAACAAATAGATAACACCTTCTTTTATTCAGGTTGTTGCAAGCTGAGTCAACCCCCCCATTTTAATCACTTCTGTGGTGAGAACTTGCCCTAGTAATGAACTTTGCTCATTATAATATTATAACAGTAAAAACCACACCCCTAGCTCAGATGCCCCCTGCACACAGAAAGACCACCACTCACCAAGCATGCACCATGATTTCTTGTAACTCTGTACCTTTAAATCGAAATGAAGAAAGGGTGAGCCAATAGCAACCTAGCCAAGTAGTGACTTATGCAAGATATGCTGAATGCATAAGATTGTAACCACGTAAGTCTGCCTGTTTTTTCTTTAAAAAAATAAATGCTAATATAGCAATAAAGTCTTCACAGCTTTTCTGTTGGACAAGAAACAGGTCTGGTAGTAAATTATGTTGTCATGCCTAAAAATAAAGATCTGCAGAGATTAAACAAAAACTATATTATACTCAGTCTTTTTCCAGGGACAGCTATTCAAAGACAGACACTACTTTTAAATGGGACCTACTCTTGAAGTTATTAAAAAAAAATACCACATTTAATCAACACAGTTTAGTTTGGGGGTTTTGGGGGATGGTTTTTTGAGTGGGTTTGTGTGTCCCCCAACTGCAGCACTTGAAATAACTAGTTCTTTGTCTTAATGTGACTGTGGTGGGTTAACCTTGGCTGGACAACAGGCGCCCACCAAGCTGCTCTATCACATCCTCTCCTTAACTGGACAGAGGGGAGAAAATATGATGAATGGTCCATGGGTTGAGATAAGGGAGATGACTCAGCAAGTACTGTCATGGGCAAAACAGACTTGACCTGGGGAAATTAAGTAAATTTATTGCCAATCAAACATCAGAGTAGGATAATGACAAATAAAACCAAGTCTTAAAATAACTTCCCCCCACCTCTCTCTTCTTTCTGTGCTCAAAATCACTCTTATCTTCTCTACCTCGTCCCACTAAAGAGTGCAAGGAAATGGGGAATGGGATTTGCAGTCAGTTCATCATATACTGTCTTTGCTGCTCCTTTCTCTGCACACTCTTCCCCTGCTCCAGCCTGGGGTCTCACCCACAGGAGACAGTCCTCCATGAATTGCTCCAGCATGGGTCCTTTCCACAGGGTCACAAGTCCTGCCAGGAACCTGCTCCAGCACAGGCACTCCACAGTCACAGTCTCCTTTGGCCACACCTACATGCTCCGTCGTGGACCTCCATGGGCTGCAGGGGGACAGCCTACCTCAACATGGTCTTCACCACAGGTTGCAGGGGAATCTGGTCCAGCACCTGGAGTACCTCCTCCTCCTTCTTCACTGACCTTGGTGTCTGCAGAGTTGTTTCTCTGACATATTCTCACTCCTCTCTTCCAGTTGCTATTGCACAGCAGTTTTTTCCCCTTCTTAAATACGTTGTCACAGAGGCACTACCACCATTGCTGATTGACTCAGTTTTGGCTAGCAGTGGGTTCATCTTGGAGGTGGCTGGCACCAGTTCTATTGGACATCAGAGAAGCTTCAGGCATCTTCTCACAGAAGCCACTGTTGTAGCCCCTCCACTACCAAAACTTTGCCATGCAAATCCAATACAGCAACATTATCTGCAGCAGGTACTGTTTCTTGGCAAGGTGCATCTCATTTCATTTACACCATTTACCCTTCAGAAGATCCCTTCCTGAAGCTTATTAAAACTATGTAATAAAATGACCTTTCAAGTTTTACTCTCCGCCTCTTTCTCAAATGTCCCTCCCAAATCTTAAGTTCTACCTAAAAGTTAGTGTTCATTTACATGCAATGCCAGTATGGGACCAACATTAATAGAAGTCCAACAGCTCACTCAAATCTAAGAAATATGATTTACACTTATAAATAATGACAAGAGAAAACAGAGTAAGAGTCATTTGGATTGAAAGGGACCTTCAAAGATCATCCCCTGCCATGGGAAGAAACATCTTTCACTAGATCAGGTTGCTCAGAGCCCCATCCAACCTGACCTTGA